ACATTCTTGCACTATTGTACATTCCCAAAGACATTGAAGTGACTGTTATTTTGTATATATTGATTGTTGTTGTTGTACATGTGTCTGTTGATTGTGTATATATAGGATATACATGTTTTTATACATATTTTTATATATATTAGTTTTGTATTTGGGATTGTGGGAACGGTATTTCGATCTTTGTCTGTACACACAAACTGAAAGATGGATGATACAGTTGACCTTGACTGCATGATTCGCCCATTCGCTGAAGATACTGTGTTTTCCGTGTCGTCCGCAGGCTCGATCACCATGGAGGACCTGATCTCCGTGCTTCCCTTCGGGGGAACCTTCGACCTGGTGCAGCTGAAGGGCTCCACGCTGTTCAAAGCCTTCGAACACTCAATGAGGCGATACGGACAAAGCACCGGAGAGTTCCTGCAGGTCTCAGGTACCTTTAAACACGACATGTATGTTAGTTCGAGCTTCTGAGATCCGCATGGTTTTTAATTGTGCTTTAATGTTCAAAAAGCTCTTTATTGTTCTCACTGCCTGTGCTGCAGCACCTCTTTTCACCCTCTGTCTGAAACCAGAGCCCAGTCTGCTCTGATTGGTTAGCTGGCCGGCTCTGTTGTGATTGGTTAACGGCTGTTCCAGTCACAAGATGGAGGAATAGAAAGCAGTATTCAATGTTTACTTCAGATTAGCTCCACGTCAGAAATGAGCATGCTTGATGTCTCTCTCCATAGAGGCTGAATCATCATGTTAATCACATAGCTATCTGTGGCAGCGGGGTGTGGTTAGGGCGCCGGCTGCTGGAGGGATGGGAGTGGCTCGGCTGGATACTAGACAGCTGATCAGAATCAGGTTAAGCTCGGAGTATAAATGCTGGGAACCTGGTTCTGCTCTCTCGCTTGCAGTAGGCTGGATCCTGAGGAACAACGGACCCGAGCAGCCTCAGGATCTAGCGGGTCATTGTCAAAGCTTGTTTTTGTGAACTTCCCCCTCCGTGGCAATAAACGTGGTCATTTTTCACAATCCCCCTTCTCCTTCGTCCATTTTTAACCCCCGTGTGAACTAGAATGTTCACACCATCATATGCCTAAAACAGTCCTGATGCTCTTCTAGGTAATCACATATCCTGTCGTGTTCACAGCTACAGTTGGGATGCTGTTGTTATCATGTCACTCTGATGTTGGAGGAGGACATTCAGTGTTTTCCCAACAGTAGTAAATGTACGTTTGTCTCTGTGTCCCCCTGCAGGGTTTCGGGTGGAGTTCGACCTCTCGGGGTCACCCCCGTTGCTCCGGAGCCTCAGCATCCTCTGCACCCGGTGCCGAGTCCCTCAGTACGAGGAGGTGGAGCCGCAGGGGGTCTACAAGGTGGTGCTGCCTTCATACCTCGTAGAGGGAGGAGACGGGTTCTCCATGTTCCCCGAAGAGATGCTCAAACACGACAGCGGTGAGGAGACGTTTATATATTTGTATTATATTACAGGGTTTTGCGTGCACCGGGTAACAGGAACGCTGCTCCCTCAAACCAAAATGCTGATTTTCCCCGTAAAATGTTAGTGATGCCAGAAAACAATATTTCTGTTCCTCAAAAACTGTATAATTACTCCAGAAATATGAGAATCAAACAGAGCTTCAGACGGCAGAGACAGCATATATTATATTCAATTATATTACAGGGTTTTGTCTGCCCCAGTCTGCTCTGATTGGTTAGCTGGCTGGCTCTGTTGTGATTGGTCAACCTGCTTACAGATGTCCCGCCCCCTATTTTTGCCAATGAATTCCGTTTGAATGGTGAAAAGTTGTCAATAATTGTGTTTATTTATCTTATCATCGTACTGGGGAGTGATAATGTTTTAGTGATCTTTACAATTATTTCCTTCCAGGGGATTTGGATATTTCCGTGTTGTCGGACTACATCGGTCGGAAACAGAGAGTTTATCCGTCTGTTGAAGGACGGATCAAGATCTTTAGCTCGGCTCCGAGTCAAACTCCTCTGGTGCCTCTGGTGCCTCTGGTGTCTCTGCTGTCTCTGCTGTGGACGCTCTGTGGGGACGCGCTGGGATGAGTTCACACAGAACACAGAGGAACATGTTCAGGTTCAAGATCTAAAAGGACTGATGGATGCTCCTCTTCTGACAGGACTAAAAATACCACTTTCGAGCATGAAAGGTGCTGTTGTTATTATTATGGACTTGTATTTGGTGCTGAATGAGGATGAGTTCACACAACGTACCTACAAGTCAAATTAAAGCTTACATTTTGAGTTCTTTGATGTTTTCATATTTTTGGACATACAATACTACAACTTTTTTTAATTTAATTTGGACATTGTGACGCCCTGTGTGTGACATCATAGTGTGATTTGGTTTTGATGGTTTAACACACACACACACACACACACACACACACACACACACCACACACACACACACACACACACACACACACACAGTGCTCTCATGCTCTTCACACACCACTGACTCTACTGATCATCCCATCTGTATATATTAATTTGCTTAATAAAGTTGTGTTGAAACGGTTGAAACGTACATCATGGTGCTTTCGGGTCCTGACAAAAGGGGGCTCGTCCATTTCAGCTGTGTCGTTTATTCTTTACATTTGGTTATATTTGAGGATTTCAATTAGTGGCTATTCTGTCGCCTTTCTTCCGTACAGAGCTCTTCTCTCTCTCTGTGTGTGTTTTACCCAGAGTTCAGAGCAACAAAGCCTCCTCTGTGGATTCCTGGAGGAAACGCCGGCTGCTTGTTAATATCTTGGATCTGATTGGCTGCCAGAGCGGAGACGAGGACATTCCTGCTTTTTATACTTTGGATTCATTTATTCAGGGAGTTCCCAGTTTGACCCACAGCCCGAAACCTTGTGTTTTTAACGACGTACTACACTTTGATTTTTAATTATTTATTACATTTTTCTACTTTCACTTGAGGAACATTTTGAATGCAGGAATTGTACCGTAACGGAGTATTCCTACACTCTGGTACTTCTACTTTTACTCAAGTACAAGATCTGAGTACTTCTACTTTTACACAAGTACAAGACTCGAGTACTTCTACTTTTACTCAAGTACACGATCTGAGTACTTCTACTTAATTACAAGATCTGAGAACCTGTATTATTTATTACATTTGTCAACAAACTAAAGCAAATTCTAGTTAATTTTCTTTCCTAATTTTTATGACAAAATATAAGATACGATAAAGAAGTACTTTATTGATCCCAAATTTGGACATGTTTGTGTTGCAGCAGCATACATGTACATGTACATTGCCATGTACATGTACATGTACATGGCAATGTACAATACAAATTAAAAGACTATAAATAAATAATCCAAAATGTAAACATCTCAATAGAAACTAGAGAATATAGTTCCTGAAGAAATTGCTAGTGGGAATGCTTTATGCTGAAAAGCTGACTCTAAACTGCAGAATGAAATGTGTAAGAAGAAAGTGAAGAGTTTAGATTGAAATGAAACATGAACACAGCAGGGGGCTTGAATGTGTGATGAGAGAAGAAAAGAAAGTGAATAGGCTTGGAAAGCAGCAGAATATTTGAACTGCAAACTTCTGAACTAACTTGATGGCGAATGATCTGTTGCCACGCCAACGGCATTTGATGACATCCCTTAATACGCTTAGATGCGTTGATGGCTGCATTGTTACCAAACCTGTGAAGTTATGAGAAAACCGTGTTTCATGGTGAGCATTGTGTTGCCATGGCAACAGCATTTGAAGAAATCTCAAAACTGTCCCATAGATGTCTTCACGGCTGGACTGTTAGCACACATGTGAAGTTTGAGCACTTTTTGAACATTTTCATAGGAGTTATACATTTCATTAGGAGGTTACATTACTCTCTCTCTTCTCTTGATCGCCCTCTTCTCTCTCTCTCTCTCTCTTCGTCATATGATGATGACACCCCATCATTGACGTAGAGCTGTTGAGGGCAGGACCTTTAACCTCTACCTGAAGGCTGCTGCTCTGAGCGTGTCTGCTGGAGCGATGACATCATCGTGTTCCATGACACAGGTGTTTATATTTGAGCTAACGAGGTGTCCAGAGATCACAGGTTTCCATGGTGATCAGTGAGAGGAGAGCATTTCCATCGTTCTGAATGAGAGATGAACCTCTTACATGTGAAAGTTTTGTGGAAGAACCGTAACAGATATCTGTGAAATTTCACAACGTGAAGCATGTCAAGGAAGTTGAGTATCTGAAGTGTAATTTTTGTGTACTTTCGGGTTAATAATGTGGCCTTTTTGGCATTTAACTAAAGGTGTGCGGCTGCTACCGTGAGGACATATATATATTTTTCAAGCTACGAGATGTTTTCCTACGTTTCTCATGAAGAATGATGTCTCAGGAATGTAGGGTTTGGGAATTATGGCAGGTTTAAAAGAAAATATGAAGGCAAAACAAAATCTGTCCTCCACTCTAGCTGTGACATCACGCACTCTAAAATCTGAAGAAGGCCTCTTTAACAAGGTCTGAACAATGTTTAATATCTGTAAAAGTATGAATCAGATTTAAAAGTTGTGTTACACGAATAATGTCAGAAAGACGTGTAACATTTTAAAGTTGGAATGAGGTTCTGAGTGAAAGTATGATATGAACAGTTAGCAGTTGAAGTCGCATGAAGATTTGTTGAAGTCTGAAGATTTTCTCCATTGACTTCAATGTTAAAAATGTGATGTATTATGGGAAGTATCTCTGGAATTATGAAAGTTATGAATGAGAAAAGTAAGAAGCCATCGATTCCCGACCGAGCTGAACGTTTTTGATGTTTGAACGGAGTTTCTGCGATGTGGAATGTGGGAGGGAGTGCTGTGTCAGCATTCCCACTGAATAAATAGCATTAAAGAAAAGTCTATCTAATTGAATCTAGTGAATTGAAGCAATGCATCTTGGGAATCTTAGCATGGATTTCATTGGCTGACGTGCTAAATCTCTATTGGTTAGAAACAGAAAAGATGACAGACAGCTGCAGTTAGATCAATAAATATATGTCTCTTTATTCAATGGTTTATATACACTGGAATGTAAAGAGGATTTCAGATCCACACGTCCGCTCTCCACACGCCTCGTTCACTCCTGCAGAGGAACCAGGAAGCAGCGTTAGCATTTCAGAGACACTGAGGATTATAGAGAGTTTTAATGAGTATCAGTCAGATAAGAGCATCAGAGGGAGAGTGGTGTGAGAGAGTTCAGAAAGCGCCCAGCTGTCAGAGAAGATTTCAAGTTTATCTTTCTTATGTTTTTCTCCCTATTTAATCTCAAGAAATGTAATATTTTGAGTTGTTTATCATAAATCTGGTGTGTGTGTGTGTGTGTGTTGTGTAGTGTGTGTGTGTGTGTGTGTGTGTGTGTGGTGTGTGTGTGTTAGCTGGATGGAAAGGAGGAACTAGCTGGAAGGTATTTGGCCCTCCTTTAGAAAGAATGAAGTCAGGAGAAAGTCTCCAAAGGCGGAGATTTAAAAAACTGATCCTAATAAAAACGTTTTAGCTTCCAGAGATACTGTTGCTAGGTAGGGTTGGGTTAGATCTCATGTCAGGAGTTACAATTTCTATCTGAAGACACCACGGTGGTAGTCTCTTCTCTTCTCGTGTGTTTTACCTTGCTGAGCTCAAGGGAACAGCTCCTGCACGGCGATGTCCAGCAGGACGTACGTCATCTGAGAAACAACAGAAACATCAGAACACTTTTACTACGAGAGAAACATTTATTCCTTTTAGTGACATGTAGCCAGAGGTTTTAAAGTACTTCTACTCCACTACAGCTCAGAGGTACATGGTGTACTTCCACTCCACTACATGTATTGAATACCTTCAGTTACTTCAAATCAGACTTTAGTTCCACCTGGAGTAAATCCACCAGCTACCCTGCAGTATACAAAGTCATTCAACTAGCTGCACCTTCACCAGCTTTGAGAACACTTTCATGATCAATCATTATAAACATATCATATCTATTATTCTGAAATGGACCAATCTGCACAACGACTACTTTTACTGTCTTTCACTATATTTAGATGAGAATACTTTTCATACTTTTCACTTGAGGAACATTTTGAATGCAGGACTTTTACTGTGACAGAGTATTCCTACACTCTGGTACTTCTACTTTTACTCAAGTACAAGATCTGAGTACTTCTACTTTACTGAAGTACAAGGTCTGAGTACTTCTACTTTTACTCAAGTACAAGATCTGAGTACTTTCTACTTTTACTCAAGTACAAGGTCTGAGTACTTCCACTTTTACTCAAGTACAAGATCTGAGTACTTCTACTTTTTACTCAAGTACAAGATCTGAGTACTTCTACTTTTACTCAAGTACAAGATCTGAGTACTTCTACTTTTACTCAAGACCTGAGTACTTCTACTTTTACTCAAGTACAAGCTCTGAGTACTTCTACTTTTACTCAAGTACAAGATCTGAGTACTTCTACTTTTCAGGGTTCATACACTTTTCACCAAAGACTTCTCAATGACCTTTACCTCATTTTCCATGACCAAAAAAAAATGACCACTGAAAATGGTTTATTTTAACATGGAACAGGAAAATATGGTCTGCATATGAAACATGTTGTGCTTTTCTAAAACAAATCAAATACTAGCTTACTAGCTTCTACAGGATAAGCAACTGTAGTCAGGGATGCAAACTCATCAGGTATGAAAAAGGTGACAAGGATCCGAGCCCCCCCACCCCGCGGAATATCGGCTTTGAAATGAGGAATAACAGGATGTTAGCAGTCAGAACAACTAGAGCAGCAGGTAATAATAACAGAAACGCCAAAGAGTCACATCTAATAGAAATATATAAAAGCATTTATTTTAATTGTGTAGCAGTCAGTTGATAATTCTGGCAGCACTGTTTGAGCATTTGAAAATGTATTTTCATGCCTCTGTGCAAGGCTTAGTCTTTCTATCTGTATGGCCACTAAAGTAACTAAGTTCATAAACTCAACACACTTTTTAGTGTCAGGAAGGAACCCTTGTCTTTTTCTCTGCAAACAGAATCTACCTACGGGTACAAATAAATAACCTGAACCTTGAACCTGAAGGTACATGGTGTACTTCGACTCCACTACAGTTCAGAGGTACATGGTGTACTTCGACTCCACTACAGTTCAGAGGTACATGGTGTACTTCTACTCCTCTACAGTTCAGAGGTACATGGTTGTACTTCTACTGCACTACAGTTTCAGAGTACATGGTGTACTTCTACTCCTCTACAGTTCAGAGGTACATGGTGTACTTCTACTCCACTACAGTTTCAGAGGTACATGGTGTACTTCTACTCCTCTACAGTTCAGAGGTACATGGTGTACTTCTATCTGCACTACAGTTCAGAGGTACATGGTGTACTTCTACTCCTCTACAGTTCAGAGGTACATGGTGTACTTCTACTCCTCTACAGTTCAGAGGTACATGGTGTACTTTCTACTCCTCTACAGTTCAGAGGTACATGGTGTACTTCTACTCCTCTACAGTTCAGAGGTACATGGTGTACTTCTCTACTCCACTACATGTATTTAATCCCTTTAGTTACTTCACAGATCAGGATGCAATGATGTGAAATATAACAGACTTTAGTTCCACCTGGAGTAAATCCACCAGCTACCCTGCAGTATACAAAGTCATTCAGACTAGCTGCACCTTCACGAGCTTTGAGAACACTTTCATGATCAATCATTATAAAACACATCATATATACACTGAGCAAAAATATAAACGCAACACTTTTGTTTTTGCTCCCATTTCTCATGAGATGAACTCAAAGATCTAAAACATTTTCTATAAACACAAAATAACCATTTCTCTCAAATATTGTTCTAAAATCTGAAAGAATCTGTGATAGTGAGCACTTCTCCTTTGCCGAGATAATCCATCCCACCTCACAGGTGTGGCATATCAAGATGCTGATTAGACAGCTAATGATTATTGCACAGGTGTGCCTTAGGCTTGGCCACATAAAAGGCCACTCTGAAACGTGCAGTTTTGCTTTATTGGTGGGGTCTGGGGGGGTCCGAAAACCAGTCAGTATCTGGTGTGACCACCATTTGCCTCACGCAGTGCACACACATCCTCCTTCGCAGAGAGTTGATCAGGTCGTTGATTGTGGCCTGTGATTGGTCCACTCCTCTTCAATGGCTGTGCCAAGCTGCTGGATATGGCAGGAACTGGAACACGCTGTCGTATACGCCGTTCCAGAGCATCCCAACATGCTCAATGGGTGACATGTCCGGTGAGTATGCTGGCCATGGCAAGAACTCTGAGCACTGGGATGTTTTGTTAGAGTTTATTGAAGGATATAAAAGTGTTTTTCATAATGTATTCTCATAAAATGTGTTAATAGAGGAACAGGAGAACAGTCTGTTCAGTGCCACACATACACACACCACACACAGATTCACATGACTGAGAGTCACAAGATTCACACTAACAAATAAGGCGTTGGTCAACACCACATGATTGTCATGTTACTGTATTGTTGAAATAAAAAGAATGCGCTGAGAGAAGGCGAGCGGAGTTGGTTAAGGAGGTTGACATGACATGTCACTCGCTGACTCTCCTTGCAGCAAGTAAACTTGAAACATGAGTACTGTTATCTTTGTTCACTGGGTTCTGGTTATTGAACCGAGCTGGGGTTTACCCTTACAAATTAATATAGAAATACCCTCACATTAATTGGTCCTTCGAGCCGGATTCCAATACATCGTGACGGGAAGGAGGAGGGAAAAGACACACGCCGCAAGTCTGTCGACAGCCGGGATCATCAGCCGACCACGAGAAAGACCCGGGACGCAGAATTCGTGGCCGGGCCGGTGCTTATATGTCCAACCTCCCTCAATCCTAGCCCGATTGACGGAATCCAACCGGACCAGTGACCACAGATAACGGGTAAGATAAACCGTTGATATACACGGTTACTCCGCCATTAAGGAGGTTGATAAAAAGTTGATATACACGGTTACTCCGCCATTTAAGGAGGTTAATAAAACGTTGATATACACGGTTACTCCGCCATTAAGGAGGTTGATAAAACGTTGATATACACGGTTACTCCGCCATTAAGGAGGTTGATAAAACATTGATAGAGAAAGGCCTACTCCGCCTAGGGAGGAGGATTGACGTGCCTTTGGGTACACTTATGAGTGATTGAGTGAAAGCAATGTGTAAAAGTGTCACCAGTGGAATCAGCGCACAGAGTGGAAACCTAACGGTGATAACATAAACTCTGTGGTCTGTTGAAGTACACGTAGTGGTGAATTAGGAATTAGGTTCTGACCGGCACGTTGTCCAGTAGGAACACCAAGCTAGAATCCTGGGGGTCCAATGGGAGTAAGCCTGCCGCTACAGGGGACATTGAGATATATGGAAATATATAGTCATGGCAGCACCAGTTATTGTAGCAAATGGTATAAACTGTACGGCTTCCAAGGAAAGTTGGAGAAAACAGCAGTAAGAGAATTAAGCGACAAATTGAGGGCAGCAACAGCTGGAACAACACAAGGCAAGAAAAGAAAGAAGTTAGAAGCTCAACTACGAGTTGCAGCTTTATGGGCTGAAACAAGCCCATAAAAGGACAGGTGGAGCAGAAGAAGGTATGATAGCAGCGGCTTTTTCAGTGAAAGCAGACGAGGAGACAGGGCGTTCAGGGTCAGTTGACGCTGTACGCCGCGGAGAAAGATGAGAGCGATAGTGGAAGAACACAAAGCGCAGGGAAACAAAGAATAAAAAGGAAGCAAGAGAAAGAGGTTATCCCAGATCAAAGAAAAAAGACATAAGAAGCGTCAGCATCAGCTTTCTTCATAGGAGAAGAAGGGGAGAAAATCAGATTTTCTTTGTGGGACCAGGACAGGGGAGAGGCGGGGTTAACAGAGGACGAGGGAATGATAGAGGAACAGGCAGAGGAGGAGGCAGAAACGCAGAAGGCAAATTCCTCTGCTACAGGTGCGGAAAGGAGGGGCACATGGCGAGAGACTGTGAGGAACAGAGACCACAGAACAAAGAAGGGGGACACAAGGGACAGTACAAAGACGAAAGACATTGCCCCCCCCCTTCACATAACCTACATAGTTATGACAACTGACTAGACGTAGAAAAGGAAGAAGAGGACGTCCACACACATCACATTGACCTTTCTGAAGTATTACTGAATCTGTCAGACAACAGTATTAAACCTACCAGGACAATCGAAATCAATTGGGAAAAATTAGAATTCTTATGTGACAGCGGTGCAGACTCATCAGAAGTGAACAAAGAGGTCCAAAGAATGTGGCCACCAACTGGCACTATGTTTTGTAAAATCAGCAAATGGACACATAAATCAGAGGTTCGATTTCAAAGCCCACTTTTTTATGGAAGATAGAAGGTCAGGCCTCCAGGCATCCCTCAAATTTGTGTTCCACTCAACTGCCCTGTCAATTTGCTAGGGAGAGACGGCATGGAAATGTTTAAAAAATCAGGTGTAGTACAGTCAAAGGGGGAATGCGAGCAGTAGGCCCGGGAGAGCAAAGGTGGAAGACCAGGTCTTCCTTCAAAATCCATAAACACCCAAAGTACTACTGGTCACTAGACATGCCCACAACCTGACGTGACGAACACAGGTGAACACCTGTTAACACCTATTCACCCCACAACATGGCCAAGAAGTAATGAAACCTGACGCATTTCACGTACCAACTACGTTTACAAGGAACACCCCTGGCCCAGACAAAGACTATGATGTGCTCGTGCATCGACTGACACCACAGAGGGTAGTGTTCCACTCGATGTATGCAAACCAACACGGGGATGTTGTAATAGATGCTAGGGTCCCATCAACCACTGCCTTGATAATGGAACCAGGTTCCACGCCACACATATCAGTAGCTAGGGGCCCAGGGACTTCATGGAGAGACTTAGGTTTATTAGTGGCTAGAGGTAACAGGATAACAAAATGGACAGATGACAAAAACGGTTGGCAAACTGGAGGCGGGTTAAAGCGCAAAACTCTAGGGTTTACCTTAGTGATGACACCACGCGCCCCACCTAGACGACCCTGAACAACAATGATGTATGCTAAGTGAAGAGGCCTTAGAGGTCCTGAAAACGGTGCCGCCATGCGTATGGTCACAAGGAAAATGTGATGTAGGTCGCATGGTGAACGCAAACTTGTACACGTTAGACCAAAAACTAACCACAGACCCTGAGGGAACATTCAGAATAAACAACAAGACAGTACTCCCTGTTAGTCTCTACAAAACAGCAGCTCATTTGAGTCATGGGCCGTGCCATGTCTCAACAGGAGGGATGGTGACAATAATAAATGAACACTTCCATACATACAACTACATTACATTTTCTAAAAACTTTTGTAGAGCCTGTGTAGTATGTTGCAGACACAATGCTCAAGGCAAATGAGCGACCACAGAGAGGAAAGTTCCCTCTACCAACATACCCGTTTCAACACATGCATATGGACTTCATTGAACTAACACCATGCCAAGGGTACAAATACTGTTTGGTAATGATATGTCCGTTTTCAAAGTGGGTTGAAATATTCCCAGCAAAACATGCAGACGCTATTACCGTAGCAAAAGCCATATGCAAGACAATAATACCAAACAGAGGTATTCCAGAGAAACTGTACAGTGATAATGGGTCCCATTTTGTAAATCAGGTTATTACCAAACTGTCCGAACATATGGGGATAACATTAAAAAACCATTGTGCATATCATCCACAGAGTGCAGGCTTAGTGGAAAGAACAAACGGAACAGTAAAGTTAAGACTAAGGAAAACAATGGAGGAAACAGGAAGATCATGGGTGGAATGTGTGTCTCTAGTAGAAACATGCATGAGAATCACGCCCACGGCAAAAGGGTTGTCTCCCTTTGAGATCATAACAGGAAGGCAATTCAGACTACCAATCACAGACGAGGTGAGGGAGGAGGATGATGCTGAGGCAGAGACTACATTAGCTGAATGGATGAGCAGACTCTTCAGAAGCAATGAGATAGCTCGAACAAATAACCTGCCAGACATTTCTACTCCCTTACAGGATACTCGAGTGCAGACTGGTGACCAGGTCCTCGTGAAGGTGATTAAGAGGAAGCATTGGCACTGTCCACGGTGGGACGGTCCCTACACGGTACTGCTGACAACACCGACTGCACTAAAAATCGCCGAAAGAACTACGTGGATACATCAGAGCCACTGCAAAAAGATAATACCTCTCCAACTTAACGACGGATAAGTGGTGGAAGTCCGGCTACAAAGGGCGGTGTTTCATTAGGAAATACTGGTCTCAACCCCGGTGAAGAAAACAACAGAACCACTATCACCAATAGACTATGTTGGGAAAGGTGTTGTGTGTAGTGACCCTGCTGGGTCTGACGCTAATGACTATAAAGACACTGTAACCAGCTAGTAATTATGAAAACAGGAGGGAATGTTAGAGTTATTGAAGGATAAAAGTGTTTTCATAATGTATTCTCATAAAATGTGTTAATAGAGGAACAGAGAACAGTCTGTTCAGTGCCACACATACACACACACACAGATTCACATGACTGAGAGTCACAAGATTCACACTAACAAATAAGGCGTTGGTCAACACCACATGATTGTCATGTTACTGTATTGTTGAAATAAAAAGAATGCGCTGAGAGAAGGCGAGCGGAGTTGGTTAAGGAGTTGACATGACATGTCACTCGCTGATTCTCCTTGCAGCAAGTAAACTTGAAACATGAGTACTGTTATCTTTGTTCACTGGGTTCTGGTTATTGAACCGAGCTGGGGTTTACCCTTACAAAGTAATATAGAAATACCCCACAGTTTTCAGCCTCCAGGAATTGTGTACAGATCCTTGCAACATGGGGCCGTGCATTATCATGCTGCAACATGAGGTGATGGTCGTGGATGAATGGCACAACAATGGGCCTCAGGATCTCGTCACGGTATCTCTGTGCATTCACAATGCCATCAATAAAATGCACCTGTGTTTGTCGTCCATAACATACGCCTGCCACACACGCTGTCTGCCATCTGCCCTGAACAGTGAAAACCGGGATTCATCCGTGAAGAGAACACCTCTCCAACGTGCCAGACGCCATCGAATGTGAGCATTTGCCCACTCAAGTCGGTTACGACGACGAACCGGAGTCAGGTCGAGACCCCCGATGAGGACGACGAGCATGCAGATGAGCTTCCCTGAGACGGTTTCTGACAGTTTGTGCAGAAATTCTTTGGTTATACAAAGCGATTGTTGCAGCAGCTGTCCGAGTGGCTGGTCTCAGACGATCCTGGAGGTGAACATGCTGGATGTGAAGGTCCTGGGCTGGTGTGGTTACACGTGGTCTGCGGTTGTGAGGCCGGTTGGATGTACTGCCAAATTCTCTGAAACGCCTTTGGAGACGGCTTATGGTAGAGAAATGAACATTCAATTCACGGGCAACAGCTCTGGTGGACATTCCTGCTGTCAGCATGCCAATTGCACGCTCCCTCAAAACTTGTGACATCTGTGGCATTGTGCTGTGTGATAAAACTGAACATTTTAGAGTGGCCTTTTATTGTGGCCAGCCTAAGGCACACCTGTGCAATAATCATGCTGTCTAATCAGCATCTTGATATGCCACACCTGTGAGGTGGGATGGATTATCTCGGCAAAGGAGAAGTGCTCACTATCACAGATTCTTTCAGATTTGTGAACAATATTTGAGAGAAATGGTTATTTTGTGTTTATAGAAAATGTTTTAGATCTTTGAGTTCATCTCATGAGAAATGGGAGCAAAAACAAAAGTGTTGCGTTTATATTTTTGTTCAGTGTATATTATTCTGAAATGGACCAATCTGCACAATGACTACTTTCACTATATTTTGATGAGAATACTTTTCTACTTTTACTTGAGGAACATTTTGAATGCAGGACTTTTACTGTAACAGAGTATTCCCACACTCCCAGTATTCCCCCACAAGATCTGAGTACTTCTACTTTGACTAAAGTACAAGATCTGAGTACTTCTACTTTTATTAAGTACAAGATCTGAGTACTTCTACTTTATTAAGTACAAGATCTGAGTAGCCTACTTCTACTAAAGGATAAGATTTGAGTACTTCTACTTTTAATCAAGTACAAGATCTATACTTATACCACCTCTGTTTATAGCCTATGAAAAAAACTATTAGAAAACGAAGGCTAAAGCTAACGTTAGCAGATAGTGACAATGTATGCTAGCTAGCTAGCTCAACGATTCCTTAAATAATATTGCGACAGAAAACCGTTTCAGTTCACATGATCACATCACGCTCTCCCGCTCTGCTCTGAACACCTGAACGGCCCGTTCTAACAGCTGTTCACCAGCGGCTCAGTCTGTGCCACAGTGACTCCGCACAGTTAACGAACGCACCGTAGCTAATGTAGCTGACCCTCATCCCGGAGCAGCAGAGTTCAGCCGACAGGCAGGAAGACTCGAGCACACAGCTCACGCTTCATATATTAAAAAATAACACCATGCGCGTCATGATGGCATATAACAGCTCACGACCGCAGATTATTTCAGCGATTAGATTAAATGTAAATTATATTTGACGCAACTTTAGTTACATTTCCATGACTTTTCCAAAACTTTGGGAAAAATATTGTTTTCCATAACTTTTCCAGGGCCTGGAATTTGCATTTTCAATTTCCATGACTTTTCCAGGTTTTCAATGACCGTACGAACCCTGACTTTTACTTAAGTACAAGATCTGAGTACTTCTACTTTTACTCAAGACCTGAGTACTTCTACTTTTACTCAAGTACAGGATCTGAGTACTTCTACTTTTACTCAAGTGCAAGATCTGAGTACTTCTACTTTTACTGAAGTACAAGGTCTGAGTACTTATACTTTTACTCAAGTACAAGATCTGAGTACTTCTACTTTTACTCAAGACCTGAGTACTTCTACTTTTACTCAAGTACAAGCTCTGAGTACTTCTACTTTTACTCAAGTACAAGATCTGAGTACTTCTACTTTTACTCAAGCACAAGATCTGAGTACTTCTACTTTTACTCAAGTACAAGATCTGAGTACTTCTACTTTTACTCAAGTACAAGATCTGAGTACTTCTACTTTTACTCAATTACAAGCTCTGAGTACTTCTACTTTTACTCAAGTACAAGATCTGAGTACTTCTACTTTTACTCAAGTACAAGATCTGAGTACTTCTACTTTCACTCAAGATCTGAGTACTTCTACTTTTACTCAAGATCTGAGTACTTCTACTTTTACTCAAGATCTGAGTACTTCGTACATATTTCGATTTTTCTTGTAATTCCTAAATATGTTTTCTTATATTCACGTCAGATTCTTTGAGTTCTTTAATGTATTTGTTTGTTTACCTGCTTGTTGAGGACGGGCTGCTGGAACCCGTCGAACAGAAGTCGAACTCCTTCGTATTTTGAGTCCTGACCGATGAACTTCACCACAAAATCTGAAACACATTGAGATGAAATAAACAGGAATCTTGTTTGAATGTTGGAGTTTTAATCAATTAGATACGATCAGACGTTTCTTGGGAGTGCCGAAGCACTTCCTCTCGGATCAATGGAGAAGGTATTTGTACTGAAGGAGGAAACCTGGTAAATAATTCATCATGGCCTCGAAGGTCTTCTTGGCTCGGCTCTGTTTCTCCTCCGGCTTCAGCTCCTCGCTGCTCTCACAGAAAACAGCGTCTGCAGGAAAATCAAAAACACATTAAACCTCCGACGTTTTATTATTACATTTATATTAAAATGTAAATTAACTGCTTTAATCTCAGGGAATATTTAATTTAATTATTCTCGTATATTTGCTATTTTATTATCTCAATAAATCGAATATTTTCAATGTATTAATAATATAAATGAACTGGTTTAATGTCAGGGAATATTACACACACACACACACACACACACCACACACACACACACACACACACACACACAACACACACACACACACACACACACACACACACACACACACACACAACACACACACACACACACACACACACACACACACACACACACACAATACACACACACACACACACACACACACACACACACACACACACACACACACACACACACACACACACACACAACACACACACACACACACACACACACACACACACACACACACACACACACACACACACACACACACACACACACACACACACACACACACACACACACACACCTCTGCAGCTGAGTGATGAGCGACACCACGTTGTGCTCCTGCAGGATTTGCTCCAGTTTGCTCTGCAGGTATTGATCCATGTACGCCTCCAAGGTGTTTTTGAAGAGGATCCGCCCGGCGGCCAGAGCGTGGTTCAGCCAATCAGCCGTGCCGAACACCGTGCGGCCTGAGAATCAGAGGACACCAAAGAGAAAAACAGTCTTAAAAACACACATCTGAGACCCCCATCTCCGCAGAAACAAACTGTTCTGTCGCAGCATCAGGGCTAGGGATGCATATCGTTGACTTTTTTACGATACCACTGAACGATACCGATACTCGACCGATACATCGTGATATTTTCTTGATGCATAAGGGAAAAATGTAAGCGCTTTATGATATAGTTAACATGTCAAATTAATTGTGGGACTTCGACCTTTTAGTACTGAACAAACAATGAAAAACACGTTTGACAACACGGGCTTGAAGACTGTACATTCCTGTACTCTGACTTTATGTGACAGTAGCAAATGTTTTGAGAGGTTGGATGTGTTGCCGCCTGTAACGGAGGTGATCTCTGGGTCCATAGATCTCGGCCTCCATTACGGATTCTGTAGCTTCATTGGTGGCAAAGTGTATGTAGTTTGTGCATCTGTCTGTGTTTTAGTTTGTCTGTCTCTGTTTCCTGGTTTTATGTTGAAAAGTGTTCCCCTATCCCCATGTCTGTTGCTGATTGTGTGCACCTGGTGCCCTGTGTTGTCTCCTCACCTGTGTCCCGTTGGTTTGATTAGTGTGGGTGTGTATTTAGGCTCTGTTGCCCTGTCTGTTGGGAAGCTGGTAGTGTGGTGGCTGGTGACTGTGCGCACAGGAGCAGCAGATTGAGGCTGTGTCATATCATATGTGTATGAGTTAATAAATGCCCACACCGGGTTGTATTTTTGGACGTTCGGCCTCCTTGTTTGGTCGGGGCGCTCAATTGTCAGCTTCACACCGCCTTTCCCAGAAATAAACTTCTTGCAGTGGTTACAGACCCCCACCATTCAGACTGGCAGTGGTTACAGACCCCACCATTCAGACTGGCATTGGTTACAGACCCCACCATCATACTGGCAGTGGTTACAGACCCCACCATTCAGACTGGCAGTGGTTACGGACCCCACCATTCAGACTGGCATTGGTTACAGACCCCACCATCATACTGGCAGTGGTTACAGACACCACCATTCAGACTGGCAGTGGTTACGGACCCAACCATCAGACTGGCAGTGGTTACAGACCCCACCATCAGACTGGCAGTGGTTACAGACCCCACCATCAGACTGGCAGTGGTTACAGACCCCACCATCAGACTAGCAGTGGTTACAGACCCCACCATCAGACTAGCAGTGTTTACAGACCCCACCATTCAGACTAGCAGTAGTTACAGACCCCACCATCAGACTAGCAGTGGTTACAGACCCCACCATCAGACTGGCAGTGGTTACAGACCCCACCATCAGACTGGCAGTGGTTACAGACCCCACCATCAGACTGGCAGTGGTTACAGACCCCACCATCAGACTGGCAGTGGTTACAGACCCCACCATTCAGACTGGCAGTGGGTACAGACCCCACCATTCAGACTGGCAGTGGGTACAGACCCCCACCATTCAGACTGGCAGTGGTTACAGACCCCACTAGGGCTGCACGGTATTGAAAAAAACTGACATCGCGATTTTCCCCCCCCCAGCGGTATATTACGTTTTTTTTAACCTGTTAATCCCCAAAGTCCCGGCGGGTACTTTACTTTTTTTTTCACGACACTGTGTCTCAGGGGATCGTAATATTTAAGAACCTATTAATGTGTTATACCAGATTAACGGAAATAATCTCAGCTAACTGACGATACAAACCATTTTATACCAAAACAAAACACAAGTCTCATAAGAAGCATCTAAATGACCCCTGAGCGAAAAATGCTAACGCACTTTGGCACAGAACTCAAGATAAAAGTACCCTTATTATTACTTATTGTTGATTGATTGATTGATTGAAACGTTTATTAACAGCTTGTATATTGGGTACAGTACAGTACAGCTCAAAACATACAATTGTTAAGGGGATGCAGACCAGAGAAAGACTTTCGTCTTGTTTACATCAGGGTCCCCCCATTTCCAATTCATCATGTCATTTAAGACATATAAGACATATAAGACATATAAGACATATTTGACATACAGATGGCTTATTTACAATTTTCATTTTAGATTTCGTTCTAATACATCCTAACCGGACATTTAAGACATACCAAGTCTACAGATATACAGTTAGTAACAGAGTCTAAAATGCGAGTATATACATAGATGGGGGGGGGGGGAAGCTGTCCATTGAACGACAGGTTGAGATTTGTACCATTACCGGGGCCAGTTTTGCAATGCTCTCCCCCGAAGGTGCTCTTTAAGAGAGGTTTGGAAGGTAAGTATAGTTTTACTTTCCTTTACAGTTGTGGGAAGAGCGTTCCACCTTGATGTGGCATCATTGCGAAACGTGTATTCCCCCTTTTTTGTGCCAAATCTGGGTTTCACATGATTTGTGGAGCTCCCTCTGGTGTTATGATCATGGTATTCCTTGACCTTTGGGAAGCATTTTGACATGTACATGGGTACCATAGAGGTGTAGTGGATCTTGTAGACCAGGCCCATTGCAAGTAGCTGTACTCTGTCGTCTACTCTAAGCCATCCTAGGTTGTCAAAGTGGGCAGAGGTGAGGTGGGTTCTAGATGAAAGGTCAAGCAGTAGTCTGACCAGTTTATTTTGCGATGTTTGAAGTTTTATTTTTAGCGCCTTGGAGGTGCTATGGTACCATGACGTGCAAGCATAGTCATAGTACCCTTGAATGAGTGCTCCTGCCAGAGTCTTCAGGATGTTCTTGTTTTACCAGAGAGGAGATCCGGTATAGGAATCTAGTTCTTTGATTGACTTTTTTTATTACATTGGATGCCATTTTGTCACAGGAGAGGTTTGCCTCAAGAATAGATCCTAGGTATGTAATTTCCTTCTTACTTGTGACAATAATGTCGCCCACTGCAACTGAGAAGTCGTCGGATTTGCTGAGATTATGTTTCGAACCGAAGAGAATGGACTCTGTTTTACCCAGGTGTAATGATAATTTATTATCGGCGAGCCAGGTGCAGATTCTGCCGAGCTCGGAGCTGAGGGTTTTTTCAACCTGCAACCTGTTCCTGCCAGAGACCAGCAGGGCTGAGTCGTCCGCGAACAGGAACAAGTTGCAGTCACATGCTGATGACATGTCATTTACCTACTGACCTAATATGCTTCCTTGTGGAACACCACAGCTCACTGGGAGGGGGGAGGACAGAGTACCGTTTACCTCCACCATCTGTTCTCTCCCCTCCAGGTAGGATTGCATCCAGCTCACCGATAGTTTTATCAAAACCAATTGCTTTTAGCTTGTCAATCAGAATGGGGTGATTGACAGTGTCGAAAGCCTTTTGTAGGTCCAGCATCACCATGCCGCAGTACTTGCCCTCGTCCACCTCTTGTTTGATGTGGTCGCTCAAATAAAGAAGGCATGTGTCAGTGGAGTGGGATGTTTCTAAAGCCAGATTGAAATTCATAGATTAGTTTCTTTTCCGCGAGGTACTTTTTGACCTGTTCATATACTATTTTTTCCATGACTTTCGAGATGGAGGTAAGTATAGAAACAGGGCGGTAGTTGCCTGGGTCCAATTTGCTGCCCTTTTTGTGCAAGGGGGTTACTCTTGCAATTTTGAAGTCTTTGGGTACTTTTCCCTGTTTTTATGGAGAGGTTAATTATGTGAGCTATGACTGGTGAGATGGCGGTTTGCTGTGTCTCTGAGGAATTTGGAGGGGATATTGTCGTGGCCAGTGGCCTTGTTAGGTTGGAGGGCGCTCAGTTTAATGAGTACCTCTGCTGTTGTTACCCTTGCTAGACTGAAATCATCTTTGCGTACCCCTAGGTTTTTGTAGTAGGTCATGATGTGATCTACTCCAAAAAGCCCTGAGTGGGAGGGTAATTTATTACAAGAGTTGTGGCTATGTTTGTGAAAAAAAATGTTCAAGTACTTGGCCACATCCAGTTTGTCTGTGATGAGCCGGTTATCTGTCTTTATGTTTAAGTTAGAAAATCTCGTTTTGAGTTTTTTACTGCAGCCAAGCTGGTTATTGAGTCATTTCCAAAGTTCACGGGGTTTATTTTTGTTTTCCTCAGTTTTGACATTGATGAAATTCTTTTTGGCAGTTTTGATCATGGAGCTTACGTCATTTCTTAGTCCTGTTTCTTTCAATTTTGAGTTCAGTCACGTGGGCCTGGAGTTCACTGCTCGTGCTTTTGGAAAGCATTGACTGACTTTTATGAAACTCAGAGCATTTTTTGTCTCTGGTTTTTCATGGCGGTCAGTATGCCGGAGTGCAACCACGGCTCAGCGCGATTTTTTACCCTGGTTGTTCTTAGGGGGGGCCAAATCATTGAGTATTGCAGAGAATTTGTTTTGAAACCAAGCCATGTTTCTTCAACTTGTGGTACCACTGAGCTCATCCGACCAGTCCAGGCTCTGCACTAGCTGCACTTACAAGATATCCGATTAAAGCTGAGGTTCCACAGATTATTTAGGTATATAGTATCATCACTGAGTGATCTGAACTCGGACAGGGGAAGCAAACACAGACAATCACAACACGTACCTTTACGTAGCTTCTAGGGGAGATGTCTCACCGTAGCTGTCAATCTGATCAAAAGACGTGTTCAATGGCATTAAAACGAGAAAGAAAAAAACGCGGCTGAATCGGTTGATCCATAGGTTTTTAACGTCTCTGTATAAAAAAAATGATTTAATTTATAATCCATAATTCCATTTTTATGTAAATATCGCAGAGCAAAAGTTAGCTGCTAATGGTAGCCACCAGAGTGGCTGCTGCTTCCGGTCTTGGCTATGCGGAAGTCTCACACACACACACATGACCAAATAAGGACTGTGTGATTTCCCCTCGATTCCATTGGCTCTGACGGTCAGAAAGAGATGTCACATGTCAAAATCCAGCAAGGTGGGCCAGAGATATGGAAAATCCACCCAAATGGCCCCAAAAGAGGGGTTTTTTGTGCTAAATCTGTCTAAAAAGGTCAAATATCAGGGGAAGTTCTACACACACCAACACATGAACAAATAAGGAGTGAGAGTGACGACGCATAGTCAAAACCGGAAGCTGCATACCATTGCAGCTAACTTTTGTGCTCCGATTTTTACATAAAAATGGAATTATTAATTAATTATTAACTGTGGGTTTTCTCCGGAAGTTTTTCCTTGTACGATGTGAGGGTCTAAGGACAGAGGGTGTCGTATTGTCATACTGATATTTTGTACAAACTGTAAAGTCCACTGAGACAAATGTAACATTTGTGATATTGGGCTATATAAATAAACATTGATTGATTGATTGATTGAATTATGGATTATAAACAATTGCTTCAAAGCCACAGATACATTATCAACCTATGGATCAACCGATTCAGCCGCGTTTTTTCTTTCTCGTTTAATGCCATTGAACACGTCTTTTGATTAGATTGACAGCTACGGTGAGACGATCTCCCGTAAAAGCTCCGTAAAAGGTACGTGTTGTGATGTCTGTGTTTGCTTCCCCTGTTGCGAGATCGGATCGCTTAGATACTATACTTAAATAATCTGTGGAGTCTCAGCTTTAATCGGATATATTTTATGTGCAGTTTCGATAAGTAATAAGGGTATCTTTATTTTGAATTATGTGCTAAAGTGCGTTAGCATTTTTAAAAAAATGAATAAAACCGCACGTCCCTGCGGTGTGAATACCGCGCATGCGCATACCGCGGTTATCGCCATGACACGGTATATCGTTCAGCTCTAGACCCCACCATTTAGACTGGCAGTCATATGCAGCCACACTTTAGATTTTCGTGCCGACATCGATCTAATGAAAAAACGAAAGCTAACCGAAAGGCTCAGACGTTCGGGAGGAAGGTGAAGGGCGTCTCGATACTGATTGGCTGGAATCAGTATCGAAAATCGGATCTGATTTCGGTACGGTATACCGTAGCCGCCAGTAACCGGTATTTCGGTAATACTGGGAACCGGTATGCATCCCTAATCAGGTCTAAAACCACCAGACTCAGAGACAGTTTCATCCCATAAGACTATTAACCCTGTAAAGCCCAAATATAGAAAAACATTAGCATAGTGAGGCTGAACAAAAGGAAATGTTGACTATGTAAATGTAGTCTTTTAAAAAAACAAAACATTTACTGACTTTTTTAGGATAGCTTAAAGTGATGTTTTCAAATAACAACCGGGGGCCTTACAGGGTTAACCACCAGAACCTTTTAAAGAACATCCATAAACATTCATCTGTAAATTATTTATCTAATATATCATATTCCATTCACTTACGAGTTACGTATATATTTATATTGTTGTATGTCTGATATTTTAGAGTATATGGAGGGAGAGCAGCAGGGGAGAGGCTACCACGAGTAGGAGCTCTCGCCCTAAATTGTGGGTTGGGTTAAGTGCAGTGTGTGGTGCCGTGTGTGTTTACAATTGCCGAGTTGTGTGCCTCTGGTAGAGGGGTGTTCGCGGTGCCGTGTTCTTTGTGTGGTGTGCCGTGCTAAAGCTATTAAACTAGCCCTGTTTTGAAGTGTTTCAAGTGGGCTTCACAGTCTAGTGGGGGTTCCTTGTGTCTCGTGGTCTCGCTTCCTCTCCTCTTATCCCATGAAGTGTTATTGGAAGGTTCTGACAAAGCGGTAGTGTTTCCTGCCACACCTGAGCGAATCCAACATATATTACACTGAGAATAGACTCTTCTTGCACTCTCTATTTTATTGTGGATTTATAGTATTTGTGTTACTGTATGTTCAATAAAGGTGTATTTTTGCTAAATCTTGAGACATTACCACTGTATGTACTAGGCCAGTGATTCTCAAACTGTTTTCAATAATGTAAAATTGGTATATTTATCTCTTTTTTTTTCATTAACATAAAATAAATCTCACGTACCCCCTGCAGTACTCCAACGTACCCCTAGGGGTCCACGTACCCCCATTTGAGAACCACTGTACTAGGCAGGGCCAGATCTGGGGGGCGCTGTGCTGGCAGCTCTGGGAGGGGGAAACATTTTTTTGACCGTTGGCGCTCATTCTAATTTTCGGCCTTGATGTAACAACATTCATAATTAAGTAAATGTAACACCCTTTTTACCCCGGTTACACTTTTCATTGGCCCTGTACGATGGGCGCTGTAAGTGATGAAAGTGGGGGGATGTTGGCTTATCTGGCGCCCGCAGCTCACAGCCAAAGTGCGAGCGTGGGAGCGAGAGAGCGAGCGAGGGAGAGAGAGAGAGAGGGCGCACCGGTACCGTGCGCTGTTGTTATTAGCATCTGGTGCTAGCTGCGCTAACGGAAATAAGAAGTAGATGTTTCTACAAAACCAGGGTGGAGGAGAGCTCTCCTGTCAGACTGAGAGGCTCAGTGAGGTAAAGGACTCTCTGAGTGTTTAGATAGTTCACTTTAGTCTAAGTTATCTCAGTGGGTCTCAAACGTTTTGACCACAATTTATGTAAACACATATTTCCAAGGCACTCCTTTATAATTATTGGGATAAATAAAACAGGGTTTGAATATCATTCCAATGTATACTATAGGACAGTAAACCAAAAATATCATTTACAGCTGGAGAAATACAAAAATATGCATAAATAAATAAATGTTAAGGTAAAATAAGATATAAATGAACAACAAAAATAAAAATAAGTTACATGTATTTGTTATTGGCTATGGTAGGTTATTGGTTATGTTCACATACTTATGATTATTAAAATGTAAACCGATCTTTTCCATATGGGTGTTTTAGAGTTGTACCCCCTAGATCAGGTCTCTAGTCATTTGTGTGCTCAAACTGCACCAGATTGAAGCATTTTACTTCAACGTACGGGGGGGCATACCCCCGGACCCCCCTAGAGGATGTGACGTCCACCCCCCAATTCAAACATGTTCATACAATACTGAATACATTTGAAAGCCATTTTGACGTATATCACCTATGTCAATAAGTTTTCCTGTTTTTGTAGTGTATTTGTCTTTTGTGAGAGATTTTTCATTATTCTTTATATATAAATCTCGCATAGGGCAGCAAATTGTCCTAGAACCGGCCCTGGTACTGGGCCTCAAGAGCCTTTCTTCTGCTGGCAGACTCATAGAAACAAATTGGCGGGGCGCACTTCGCACGCACTAAAAAATTCAACGCGCTCACGCTCACATTATGCTGGGCCCACGTGCCTTAGCACCGCTGCTATGACTCCATCTGGGGAAACACTGTGTCCTATAATATATATATATTCATGTTGCTCTGTTGGAGGAATCAGAAATCAGGTTTATTACCAGGTAGGTTGACACATCGTACGAGGAATTTGACTTAAAACAAGTAAAACTAAAATTAAAAAAATATAGTAAAATTACAAAATGAAGTGATTTACATTGAAATAGAATGGAATAAATATATATATTTTAAATAAATAAGAAAATAAAAAAGCCTGGGACTTCAGTTTTCATTGACATATCTACACTGAAGCTGCTACATGGACAATAAAGCCTTGAAATTTCAAAAGCTTAGGAAAAATAACTCCAACTTTTCCCAGAAACGTTTAAAATAACTTCGAAACATCATTCTTTACGAACCGAAACCCGAAGAGACTTCAGGACACGACCCGGATTCTCCTGGTCTCTGAGAGAGAAATGGATCCGTGTGATTTACTTACCGACGAACATCATGTAGTCGTACATGCCGTCCACAGAGAGCGTTTCCTCAAAGAAGTTTAGGGTTGTGTTTCCTCTCCGAAAGGTTGGCGTTGTTCCTGAACAGGTCGTTGAACAGCTGCAGGGCAAAGAGGAGCACAATCAGTGAAGGGATCATCAAATTACAAAAGTGACCTCTGGAGGAAGTAACAGGAAGTAGATTTAAGATGACTTCTCCTAACCGTAGTACATGCTAAAATCCCATGCTACCTATTCCATACCTTAAGTGGACCTATCATGCTATATTGAAAACATATATTGTCGGGCCATACCTATACAAAACATGTCTGTGAAGTTTTTACCACACATATACAGAGTGTGTGTTAGGTGTGTGTATACAGAGTGTGTGTTAGGTGTGTGACAGAGTGTGTGTTGGACCTTCTTGTTTGTTCTCGTTGGACGGGCTCAGGATGGTGAGTTCTGGGCGGCTGGGTTTTGCTTTCGGAGACTCGCAGGAGTTGAAGAAAGACTGAAGGAAAGGATCCAGGTTCTGTCCTTTCTGTAAAAAAAACAAAAAGTTAATATCGTCAGCGTCAGGATGGATTTATAAAGGAATGTTACAGACATTCGAAGGTTACAAATTGAAAAAACTGCGGCGTCAGTGAAGGGTTGTAATTAAGAAAATATTTTGAATATATATACCAGATTGATATTGTTCATTTGAGAGGCAAAAACCTTTAAAAAGTGGTGTTATTCGGTTAATCTGGAAATGTAATCTCAAAGAATGTCTGGTTATCCCTAGAGAATAATAACTTCTCGTTACTTTTGGAGATTTTCTCGTAGATGTATCCCTTAAATCTTGGAGAATACTCAATCTTTTTCCCTGTGAATTCATGACTTTAAAATCTGAGAGAATATTCGATTTTTTACTTTTTTCTCATTAAAGGATTTATTTACGAATAACGTAAGAAAATATTAGTGTGTTTTTGTGATTTTATAATCTTATAATATTTGAGTATGTTTCCTCAACAAAAACAAAAATGGAGAATACTCACTACTCACAAGTTATAAGATTATAAAATCATACATTTGCTCAAAACACTCATATTCTCTGACATTATTAGTAAATAAATAATACTTTCAAGTAAAAATCTAATATTCTCTCACTTTTTTTCTCTTTTCATTATTGTTCTTTTACGTCTTACAATATCTGATTTATTATAGGAATATATTACCCCCACATATTCTTTAAGTTAACCTACAACAGACCTAAGACTGATATAATAATAATAATAATATATAATATAATAATAATACCCCCCCGTGACTTCTACTGGCAAAACAACAACAACAACTCCTCTTCAAGAAGCAGCAGCGTTTCCTCACGATACAACGTTTAAAGACAAGAAACCGAAGATATGATTAAATTAAAGTTAAATATTAAGTACAGCTCACTAATGGACTCACCCTCTTTTTATCAGCTTCCCCGGTACGGACTTAAACATCTTTCCTGTGAAACAAAAACAAATCAGTTAAATGGTAAATAAGTAAAGTAATAAAGTAAAATAGGAAAAAGTGAAGGATATAATGTTGATATTTAGAAAAAAGGCTGAAGCTTCCGGCTCTCATTCAGAATCACACAAATTAGGCATTTCCATTTCCTTTAACCTGTTGAGCCCCGAGCCTGTTTGTCAGGTCTCAGGCTCGAAAGAACAAATGACCATATCTTCACTTCTAAAAGGGGGAACATTAATAATCTTTGTTCTCAAAGCAAGGATAAACCTGTGAGTTGGATGTAGAAGAGTCAGAATCAATATAGACGTTTTTATTTTAAAGTAAATTCAGATGGAACATCGTAAAAAAAATGTAAAATATAGTGTCCGTCCAAACAGAAACCATGACTTATAGTGAAAACCAGCCTTGAATGATGGGATGGAAGACTAAACGCTTTAGGAATCCAAAGTACAACATATAATAAGTACCCTGAATCAAGATTGATGCAAAACAAGTGAAGTTTGACCTTTTTAGACAGGTTTAGAAAAATAAAACCCACTTCTGGGGTCATTTGGGTGGATTTTCCATATCTCTCCGGCCCCCCCAGAGAGAGAGTGCTCGATTTTGATGATTGACACCCTCTTTCTACCGTCCACAAGCCCGTCCACACAGCGGCGTGCGTTGAAGCTTCCAACGCTTCCTGCCCATTCACTTTGAATGGGGTGACGTCACTTTAGCCGAACTGCATTGTGGGAAGCGACGTGGAGCGGTTGCTGGCGTTGCTCGCTTCAAAAGTTGAGCAATATTCAACTTTTGACGCCTCGGCAGAAGCGTCCAGCCAATCGAATCATATGCCAGTAAAAGCTCTAGCCAATCAAAACCGCTGCTTGTGTGTCCGGGGCGGGAGATTCATGTGATTGGTTGTTGGTCGAGTTTCAGACACGCCCGCCGGCAAGCGTCAACGCACGCCGCTGTGTGGACGGGCCGAGCCAATAGAATCGAGGGGAAGTTCCTAAAATCCATCTAAACATTACCCATTGGTGAATGAGTGCTGCGCAGCCAGAATGCCCAAAACCAGAAGCTGTCATACACTCTCGTAGCTATCATAGCAGCTAATATGAAAACTCCGTTATTGACATAAATATGGCGATGGATTATCAGTAATCATTTCAAAGTGACAAAGACGTTTTTATCATTTTAATGCCATTGAACACGACTTTTGATCAGAACAACAGCTAAGGTGAGACAATGTTCAGTTTTTGCTCAGTAAAGCTACGTGTTGTGATGTCTGGGTTAGCTTCCCCTGTCGCGAGTTCTGATCGCTCAGTGATGATACTCACACCTGTAGAGTCTGGCTTGCTATCTGATATCTTGTTTGTGCAGATCCGATAAGTAATAAAGTATTTCTACCGTGAGTTCAGTTCCGGACTTGTCGTTTTTTTCGACTGTCGACTTTTTGACTTTACCTCACTACATTTGAAAACAAATGATCTCTAAGCACAGTGCAGATGGCTCTGAATTGAAACTATGCAGCTCCTTTGTATAAATACCATTACAAAAACACTCTCTGCTATATCACATGTGCAATATTAGCAATAAAGGTAAAATATTACTTGCAATTACGAATCTGCCACTACGTTTTCTTGCTGTTTTCAATAATGCTCGTCACTGTACAGTTTTTATATTTATTATTTGACCGTCTATGTTTCTTGTAGTTATTTTGTAAATAAATCATCCCGTCACAAATGTATCGTGAGCACAAACCCAGGTTGACGTCGGGCAGCATTCTCTCCAGGAAACTGAGACTCCATGCTGTGAGGAGACAGGAGTCTGCCAACAGCTGAGAGTTACTAGCTCC